CCGCTGCTTTATATGATTTTAATTTACCGATAGCTACTTCAACTTCCTCTTTACTTGGTCCTTCTATCAACGGTTCAGCACTCTGGTACTCAGAAGGAGGACACAGATCATAATTTCCCGTATTTAAAATATTGTCAAAGTGGTCCTTAAACTTATTCAATATGTCAACCGGATCGGTCAGAATATTGTTATTATCATCCCTAATTCCAGACGTTACGGGCCCTACATATTTACGTGATCTGTTTATACCTTTGTACATGTCTCTTACGTTATTTTCGATTCTATTAGTTTCTATTTCAATTATTTTATTTTTGAGATACTCCCTTTTTTTATTTTTGAGCAATTTTGTCGTTTCGTTCTTTGAGATTCGGAAGTATTCCAGATTGTCTTCGCTAGGATTATTTAGAGCTTTTAATTTAGCGGCTTTCCTTTTTTCGCACATGTTTAAGCAATCTTCATCAAACCACGGTTTGTTATTCTTATTTTCCTTTTTTCCTAGACACGAGTTACCGACCGCTTTAATATTATCCCTGATCTCTACCCATAACTTGTCAATATCCTCGTGGTCCTCGTCAGGAAGCTCTAAAGCTTCAAACCTATTCTTAACATCTAGCTCGAATTGGTTTCTAATTGATGGATTTTTAATTTTTCCAAATTAAAATTCTCAAAATCGAAACGGTTTTCTTTTCTCTTTTTTATATTAAGTTTTTGTCGAAGTTTCGCGATTACTAATTCATGATCCGACCCACATTCTGCTCCGCGATAAGACCGTACATTGATTATACTGCTTTGCCAGCTGTGTTGTATCAAGACATGATCGATTTGATTTCGTGTTTGCGAATCCGGTGATGTCCAAGTATATTTATGAATATCCTTACGTTTGAACGTCGTACTTTTAATTACCAGGTTTTTCGAGATGGCAAAGTTTATCAGACGGATCCCATTATCATTACTATATTCGTGCAAACTTTCTTTACCAATCGTCTGAATATAAACTTCTTCCCTTCCTACCTTTGCGTTCGCGTCACCTACAATTATTTTCATGTAGTTTCGCGGTAGTTTATCATAAACCCATTCGAGTTTATCGTAAAATTCACTTTTGACTTCATCGTCACTGTCTTCGGTCGGACAATGTATGTTTATTAATGCGATTTTAAACCAACGTCCCTGAAATGTAGCTACCGAAATTCTATCACTAAAGAATTGTACGTCCCTCAAAGCGGATAGTAATCTACTCCTAATTAGAAACCCGGTACCTAAACAATGATTCCCGCTTCCTCCGTACCAAATAGTGTACTTTCCTTCCCTCATCGAGCCCTCCCCTGGCCAGCGAACCTCTTGCAGAGCCACGACATCCAAATTGTACCCATTTACCTCATTCGCGACCGATTTTAGCCCCCCTGCTGTGTTTAAACTCCTTACGTTCCACGTACCAATATTTAAATCCCTATATTTCAACTTGCGGCATGAATCCCCTAAAGCAGTCCCCACCCGGAGACCCGAACGGGGGACTAGTTTACCTCCGGATAATGAGCGTTTTACCTTAGGGAGATCCATGACTTTTTGTGGTGTTTGGTGAACTAAAGATATGTGAGTAGGGCGTTCAATCCTACGTCACACCCTCCAGCAAGTCTGGTGGGCCCCTACCTCCAGCAAGTCTGGAGGTCCCCTCCCTCCAGCAAGTCTGGAGGGCCCCTCTCATTGTTGGTCAGCGAGTCCATCGGACTTAGCCGGGAGGAACTTCCAAGGAATTTCCACCGACCATCCCCACATCCGCCACCCGTGGGACGCTCCCCATACGCGGTAATGAGCCCGCGCGAGGTAATATTATTTATATAGATTTAAAATTTAATTTAAAAGAAGAGACAACAATTTTTTTTTTTTTTACTTTCCTACCGCTACTAGGTAAGAAAAGTATTGCGATCGTGTCAAATTTCCGATGTGCGCTTTTAACTGATTTTTACGTTTCAGAGTCCTCTGAGTCCGAAAAAACACATTTTCAACCATTGGTCTGTCTGTCCCAAGTTTGTCTAGGAAACGAGTGCACCTATTTTATTATTATTATTTTTTTTTTAAGATTTTGACGTTGGCGAAAACTTAATGGGAGAGGAAAGAGAGAGAGAAAGATAGCTGTCCAATAAAAACAGAGAGGGTGTGAGAATAATGTCCCCTTCGCCTTCCCCCCGAATATTTAACACAAAAATAAAATCTAAATCAATAACAATTAATCTACACGAATGAATAATACATGTAAACTAAAATCTATCAAGGAAATAGCAAAAGTCAAGATATAGCTAAGCTTAGGCCCAGAAGTAGCTAATAAGTGTTTTACGAAGAAGAACAGAGGCAGGGATACCCACGTACTGTGCATTTTCTTTTTTGACCGAATCTCCAAACTATAGATTTAGGTTTGGATGCTGTTCAACAGAGAGAGAGTTATAATGGCGGCTTTTTTTTTCCAACTCCCAAGGATTATACAAAAATAATGATTTAAAAAACATTTTTTGTATTCTAATGATCATTATTTAATGATGAAGGATATATTTCAGTCTTGCCCTGAGGGTTAGAAGAAAAAAAAAACGGATTTATTAAAATCAGAATAAATATGCTATGATATTAGGTTCGAAATATAATTAATGGTTCCAACAAAATATAGTTTATTATTAATACCTAAAAAAAATCTATGGATCTAAATCATAAAAAATAAAAAACTAAGATATGTGCTTTAGACCACACGATAAAACTTAAAACCTCATGGCGAGATTAATAATATGAAACATCAATTGTAGCTCATTAAAAAGAGGATAAATTACTGAACATTTCCCTCAATTACAGAATGCAGATCTGATTTTTAGTTTCTAAGATATTTAGATCCATATATTCTATCTAGTGTTGTCCAAATGCGAGAACGAGACGATTCTTGGTCTTGCAGTTACTTATTAGCTTATTACTATAGAGATATTACTGTAATTTTTTTAGATAGGAAAAACATAACCAACCCCGAATGAAAAATTAGAGGAGTTAAATTCATAAGTATATGGGTTATACCGATTCTTGACATATAGTAACTAAGATTGTCGAATATTAATAACTATTTTTCCTTAATTTTTATTTTAAAAAATCGATTTTTTTTACCAGTCCTGATCTTGGTCTTACAACAGTTAGGCGGCCTTATTTAAAAAAATAGATAAAATAAAATTACTTATTCATGATAGATATATGCTTAAGATGTTACAGTTCATTTTTCGTCAGTGCTGATATTCTCCCGGTTCCAGATTCTTGTATGGCTATGACATTTATTCTGTTACTTCGATTGGGGATCGAACTTGGGATGGGAAAACCCTCCTGGGGTAAACTTAGCCTCTATGAAGTGGGTACTCTAAACTAATAGCCCTGGAGCCAGGACCCAAAAATCGACCTGATCGCAGGCGAAGGTTTGATAGTAAATTAAGAAAGTGTTTGTTATTCTAAGTAAAATGAACATTGTCTGCCGTTTCAGAGCCGCTGCTTTAAAAAATGGCGGCTGATTTAAAGAATATCAGGCCAATAATTTAAGGATCGAAACGGGAAATCCATTGCGAAAAATGTGACATGTAAAAAACAAAATTAGACATGTAAAAAACAAAATTGCTAACGCGGGCCACCAAGAGAAAACTTTGTACAGCCAAAAAAGTCTGATATTTTTGGGGTTTTCACCTATAACTCCTAAACGATGCATCAAAGCGAAAAATGTATTCTTTAGAAAATTAAAGAACGTTAAATTTTGTGTCCAACGTAAACTTTAAAATTTAGTTATGCGGTAATGTATAAAACCACGGGCAACCAACGCTGATTTTAACCAAATTGGTCAAAAACTGAGGCAAATGACTATAAATGGTCCCCCTAAGATAAAGAAACCCATAGAACCAAACTTGTAGGGCATCAAATTTTTCGTGTACCGAGTACCAACTAATTTAACGTAGGTCATTTGCTGTGAACGAAATCGGTAATCCCCCGATAGTTAGAAATTAGTAATGAAGGTAAAACGTGATTTTACTTCAACAGTATGGGTGTCTATTCTACTGAGTTAGTTTTGTTTAGAATCTATTACATGCAGTATAAGCCTCTTTACCACTTTTCAACAGCAAAAGATTTTGGTAAACGATGTGTCGAAAGATACCGAATTTTATAAAGGAATAACGAATCCCGATTTGAGATATATAATTGGCCTACAATAAAAATTTCAGTAGTCAGTAGACGCATAATTTGATGCTCGACAACTTTGAATCTATGGATTTTTCGCCTTTGGAAATTCATTTCCAAGTTACAGGACCATTTATGGTAATTTGTCTCAGTTTTTGACAAATTTGTTAAAAATCAGTTTGACCGTAGTTTTACTCCTTACCGCGTTACCAATTTTTAAAGTTTATGTACTCATTGGACGCAAAATTTGACGTTCTTTAATTTACTAAAGAACATATTTTTCGCTTTGATGCATCTTTTAGGAGTTATAGGTGAAAACCCCCCAAAATATCGAAAATATCTGACTTTTTTGGCTGTAAAAAGTTTTCCATTGGTGGGTGGCCCGCGTTAGCAATTTTGTTTTTTACATGTCTAAACCCATATATACAAGTTAAAAACTTATTATTAAATAAAAAGAAATGATTGGCCTAATATTCTTTAAATCAGCCGCCATTTTTGAAAGCAGCGGCTCTGGAACGGCAGACGGTATTTTTACTTAGAATAACATAAACTTTCGTAATTAGCAATCAAACCTTCGCCTGCGATGAGTTCGATTTTTGAGCGCTGGCTCCAGCGCTATAATGGAAAAACACGATGCTTGAGCGCGACCTCAGACAAATCACAACCTTACACGATCGCTGACTAAGAAACAGTTCTTCCTTACAAAGTGCTGAATCCATAGTGATACAACTTTTTTCTCTTTTTTTCCTAACCCATAACTACAAACTATTGATACATATATACTTGGAAGATATCCAACAAGACTTCTTCTGACATACCCTTGATGATGGCATCGCCGACGAAGAGCTGTCCGGTCTGGTCTGCCGCCTGCTCCTTGAAGATCCTGGAGATGAGGATGGGCAACTTGTGCTCCGCGCCGCCCTTGATGCTCAGTCCGAGGCCGCCCACCTTCTGCCGCGTCACGCCGACGATACGAACCTGCGAATTGGAAATAAAGAATACAAAATAATATTTAGATGTCAGGTTAAAAAATATAATAATTAATAAACATAAAGAAACTGGAGATTTTAACTCTAATTCCATAGAGCGAAAAAATGCAATGATTTTCTTAGACTTAAAAAAAAAATCATTTATTTAAGTAAATTGACAACTGTATAAAAATAAAACCAGTAAAAATGCACACATTAGAAATAATGACATTGACTTGAAGGGATACTGCCCATTAGTAGTACTCTCTATTTAATTCTAGGTAAGAAGATCACGAGGCCACCTTCTTTTTAGACACCTAGGAGGATTATCAGGAATTGAGGAAGAAGTAAGGCTGGAAACAAGTGACTGGAGTATTTCATGAAGGAATAGGTATCTGGCTCGGGCTAAATCAGCGACATATGGAACATTGAGGATTTTCCGAAGGATATTGGATTGCAAGGATTGGATACGAGAGGAGGATGTACATACATTATTATTATTTAAAGGAAGGAGATGGTCTGGGGTTGCGGTCATAAATAGGCTGAATAGTGGTAAAACTATTTAGCCTATTTATGACCGCCACCCCGGACCATCTCCTTCCTTTATAATGCAACGGTCAACTATTAAATATTCAATTATTATTATTTACTTTGAAGTATCGATCAGTAAGGTATGAACGGATAATGAGAAAGTAAGTAGGTGTTAGGAATTTACGGAGTTTGTACAGTAGTCCCGGGTGCCAAACTCTATCAAACGCCTGGTCAACTTCGAGAAATACTCCCGTACAGTAGATTTTGGACTCCAATGCAGATTCTTAGATTTAAAATGTAAATAGGTTTTCTTAGCTCCGATATTTAGGAGTCCACCTGGACAAACGTTCAACTTGAAATCCTCATACCAGACTGAAACGTTAAAACTAGACAAACCCTCTAAGCTTCCAATTAATTACAAAAGACTCATATACATGACTATAATTGGGCCTATTTCAACTTACGACATTGAGCTATGTGGCTCCACTAAACCATCGAATTCCTCTTGCATCCAATCCTTACAATCCAAAATCCTTCGTAAAATCCTCAACGCTCCTTACTTTCTTATAAATAAAATCCTCCCTAACGATCTTAATGTTTTATATGTTTCCGATTTGGCTAATCCAAATAACTATCCTTCCATAATAAACTTTAGAATCATCCAGACTCTCTCGTTTCTGACCTTGATTCCTGATAACCTAGGCGTCTGAAAAGCGTCAGTTTCTTAAAAAATTTTATCCTATCTACTTATTCATTAATCACATTTATTTCATCCATTCTTCAGATTTTCAGGCACTAGGAAGTAATTATTATACCTCCATTTTTCTCTTGATGTCCAATGTTATAAAGGGCAATGTCCAAATAAGCTTTTTAAATTAAACACATTATTATAAGTGAACAATGCACTAGATCCATGCTGCCTGTTATCACAATGTCTGAGCTAAAACGGTCAGTAATGATTGAACGTGTAGTCATCATGATCAAAGCGACCCCAAGCAATATTTGTCATTCTTGCGACTTTCATTCACGAATGATCGTGTTAGGTCCGCTATCCCTTTGGTGTCAATCTCGCAATGCCCATCCCACCAACCAACTCAGTCTAATGGATATCACCATGGATTATGGCTGCTCAAGAGGGGTACGAGAACCTATTATCTTTTCCCAAAAAAGACTTCCAAATCTCTGGGAGACTACTGACATCATGAAAAACCACATCGATAAACACGATTAAAGACTCGAGGCAACGTCATCACTGCAATGCACGATCCGTTTGAATTGCCCCCAGTATACGTTATCTGCGTAAGAGTTGTAATTGGTGCCCCGAGATACTCCCAAGTGTCTCACCACTACACTGAGTTAAAGTGGCTCTTTCCCTCCTTTCGAAGACGATATTTCCTAGGTACGTTCCTCTATCAAATCATCAACAACCAACGTCCTTCTTACGCCTACAACCTTCTCCAATCCAAGTCCTCAGTCCACTCCTTTTCCACAAGATCTCGACCTTCCGACCTTTACATTCCTTCTCACACATCTGCCTCGTTCCAAAACTCGTTTATTGCTCACTCTGAGAATTTCTATAATTCTTTTTCTATTCCAATTTCTATCTCAAAAAACAGTCAGACACCCTCCCTGCTAACCTTTTATGTAAATTTACATATTATTCAAAATGATTCACATAATGATATATTTACATATAATTCATCACTTAAATACTTACTATCAGATTCGTCTTATTTTTTCTGCAGAAACACAGAGTTAATTGCAAAGAAGATTGTAATGTATTTATTATTTTTTTTTTTTAAAGTGTATACTTATTTTTTACCACTGTACATAGTTTTAAGAGTCTTGGCATGGTTTCAAATGTTTTGTATGTAGATTTTTATTATTTTGTACATAGTCTGTTTAACTAATATTTTTGTACTTTTTTGTTATTCTAAAGGGATTTCGTCCCAGAATAACATTATTTTCTATTCTATTTTGACGGGCCTCCTATCAGAGAGAGAGTGAACTGTCACTAAATTTGCGCTGTCACCCATCCAACTATTTACTACACTCGACATTACTTAACTTTGATAATTATTGTATATGCCTCATTCACTAGGCCATTCCAGACCCCTGAATGAAGGTCAATAATAAATAAAAATCAAATACATAACATATATTAACTAATATATCTCAAATACATAATATATCATAAATAAATAAATATATAATGACCCTGGAATCGGAGGGGGTCGGCCTGACGTTGTGGTTGGGCGGGGAACTCTCTTCCTTCTGCAGCTTCAAGATCTCCATCGACAGCTGCAGCCTCATTGGTGTGGGCCTAGTCTTCCCATCGCTCACCTTCACCATCCCGCATCTCACCTGAGGAACAACAACAGTTCGTTGTTAATAATAAATAAATTAAATAATGTTAATAAGTTAAATAAATTTTAAAAATAAAGCACTATTCTCAATTTATCATCCTTAACTAACACACCTGCCATCTACAAATTACTAATAAATGCTTCATGAACATATAATACAGAGGTACGAGGTACTACGAAAACCTTAAACACCAACAAAATTCAATGTTTTAGAGGAAGAAATATTGAAAATTAGCCATTTAAGCCCTGTGAGAGGACATCAATGAGAATATAACCTATATTATATTAAAAACTGCTTGATTTTACACTGATCAAATGATTTTAGTCAAAATAATTAGGGGCCTAAGATGACGAAATAGAAAAGAACTTTAAAATTAATTTTACAAAATAAGAGAGAGTAGAATTGATATTTCCAGCTACAGAATCAATATTCATATTTCAGAAATGTTTATTATATCGACTATAGACATTTCAAGTTCGATATTTTGAAGGTATCGATAGTTATAGGCCGATCTTAATATCGATATAGGGCCTTCTATATCCCATCTCTATATTGGATATCCTGGACTCCCTGACCACATCATCACCCGGGCAGCTCTTCCCACTGACCGCTGGCCTTTCTCATCCTAATAAGTTAAATCAGATCCTAAGAACGATCTCGAACACTTTCCCCAACCAGATCCGACGCCTAACCGTATCAGACCTAACCATATGATATAAGGTGCCGCAGGAAATTTCTCCTGGGAAAGATGATGAAATTACGTGAGAACTGCACACGACTGCACTGAGCAGTTCCTTGACTGTCTAAACGGAACTACACTCAAGAAATGTCGTGAACACATGAAAAATTTCCTCGTATTAAATAATATTAAAACATATTTTGAGGGAGTTTAGGAATTAATTTAACATTCCCTTCCTACAATAAGATATATTTGTTTAAAAAAAGAATCCTAAAATAAATAAAAAGAATCACTAACATTGGGTCCTCCCGTTCCTCGCCGTTAAGGCTATACGTGGTTTTCCCAGGCCAGGGAGTGTGGGCGGGGATTTAAAAGACTCCCTCGGCACCGGGATGCGAAATTATTTTTATATCATTTGGTTGATATATCAGCTTGCCGGGCAACGGCGGTGCTGTGCACACGCGTTAGCCCATTTGGCCACCCTGCCCAATCTACATCACTAACATGACATCAGACTATTTTTAAACAAATCCTCTCAAAGAATATTAATATTTTTTCCTTGGTCCATTAAAATATTCCATTTAACATAATAGACCAAATTTGTGTACAAATTTTAAACGCTGACTGGAAAGATAATAAAGACAAAATAAAAAAGGCTATCATGAGATTTTCTAAATGATTAAAAAAAATAAAATGTAGGAACAAACAAATGCTTTTTAGAAATAATAGAGTTAATAAATAAGTCAGTAAAAAAAGTGTAGTAGAATAGTAAATGTAATATCTTTAAAGAGGGAGGAATTATTAAATATACCAAAACTAATAGACTTATCTTTTTTAATAATTGTTCGATTTTTTTTTCTAGTTAATTACTGTGGGTACAATCAAGAAAAATTGATTACTTTTGAGTTATTCGCAAATAAAGTTTTATTTTCCTTCAAAACTTTTTTTACAGATATTCAGGAGGATAGAACTATTTTTTGCACGTGAAGGATAAGAATATCTTCAAAATGAGTGGTCAAACATTGGATTTGGTAAAAAATTGACGAAGTTATAGCGTACGGACAAAAAAACACCTTTTAGAAATAATATGTAGGATTAAGTTCACTTAAATTGTTACCACAACCAGTATGAGAAATTACTTAAACTGAAATAAACGTGACCGAGTGATGCATGGACTCGGCATAGAGAGAGAATCCTGGAAGATATCCAAGAGATTTCGAGGAAGCCCTGGAGGCTGCTGGAGTGTCAAACCGAGATAGGACAGTTATCTGATGTTCGCCGAACGAGGACAGCGGATTATCCGAGACTTCGCCGACAGATCTGGATCAGCAACTGTCCTAAAACACTGTGTCTGTGCGAGGTGTTTGCTTCTATCCCGGATTGAGGAGAAAGTGGAATGGAATTTTAACAGCTTCATTACAACATGGCGATTAAACATACAAGAGTATTCACTTTGAATTGATAACAATACTTTAGTATAAATGTTCTTCATTAGTAGGATAATATAGTGTGGTGCTGTGCGTGCCTCACATAACTTTCACTTACTACTTGACTTAGAGAAGAAATAAGTATTTTAATACACAAGGAACTGAAAGTAAACATTATAGACGGTATAACACATTCACAAAAACAATTAATTATTACTTTCCTACCAATACTAGGTAAGGAAAGTATTGCAATCGAGTCAAATTTCCGACATGCGAGTTTCGACGAATCTATACGTTTCAGAACCCCTTGAGTCCGAAAAACACATTTTTAGCCATTGATCTGTCTTTCTGTCTGTCTGTTTGTCTGTACCAACAGACACACAAGGAACTACTGAACCGATTTTTTTTATTTTGTAGGGTTTTGACAGAAATTCGGTGCTCCATGCGCAATAGCTTGCACGCAATAAATGAAAAACATGTTTTTCTGTAGACTGTAGCGGAAAAACGGCTTTAACAATTTTGATGAAACTTTCCTATAGTGTTTTAAGTATTGTTCTTTCAATTTTCGTATATAGACTAAATTCCCGAAAAAAATCAAGAAAAAAAGTTATAAAGGAACGAAAAATGTTATGGGGCCTAACTCCCTAAGTATATATTGTATGGTAAAATTTATAATAAAACTTTTGAAAGGTAATTAAATCACCAACAAAACAAAAAAAAACAATCATCGGAATAGAACCAGTATTAGCAATGATTCAGCTTATTCTACTTTTTACACATTTTTTTAACTTATTACTTTCGTACCTATACTAGGTAAGGAAAGTATTGCAATCGGGTCAAATTTCCGACGTGTGGTTTTCGACGGATCTATACATTTTGAGCCTGTCGTTTGAAAGGTAATGAAATTCCCTACAAAGCCATATAAAAATCGTTCATGGACAACTATTAACGGAGTTACAGCTATTCATTTTCCAATGTAAGATTATGGTTTCATATCCTGGTGTCAGAAAGGGGTGAATGAGAGGATAAAGATGACTAAGTGAAAATAAGAAAATCTGTTTCCCGCATCACACAATCTTCACTATTTCCTCAACTTCTTACAGAAATTATTGTTTGACAATACTAAGTTATGCCAACAAGTTTTTGGTCAGCAATATTAGGAATTATCGAAATTTTTACGCTGATCTACCTTAAGCCGGTTTACATTGCCTTAGTTTATCAAATAAATCGTACTCAAATCTTATGTTTGATCAATTTTCAGGAAACTTTATCTAGTTTAATTCTTTTTTGTTTCTTCATCAATATATGTAAAGAAATAAAAACTTTTCTGAAATAGGTAGGAATGTCATGTGAATGGACATACCAGATTTTATTTTTCTTGTACACTGAATCTATTAAATTTATATGTTAACGTCACTGCATTTCGTTTTGCACCTGTCACCGACTTCTAAAGCTCAAAACCTTTATTATTAAAATAATTACCATTACCACGCCTGCGAATTTACAATTTGATGTATTTTTAACAGGCGTGATTATGAATAATAAAGATTAGAAAATAAATTCACAACTTATTTTCAAGTAAGGAATTATACCTCACTTCTAGTTACACATCGGGTGTAACAATACTATCTTTTTTATGAAACGTATATATTAAGAAAAATATCTGGTGTGTCCACGCACACGGCTTTCCTACCTATTTCAGAGCTTTAGAAGTCGGTGACAGGTGCAAAACGAAATGCAGTGACGTTAACATATAAATTTAATAGATTCAGTGTACAAGAAAAATAAAATCTGGTATGTCCACCCACACGGCTTTCCTACCTATTTCAGAAAACTTTTTATATCTTTACATATATTCATGAAGAAACAAAAAAGAATTAAACTAGATAAATTTTCCAAAAAATTAATCAAACATGAGATTTATTTGATAAACTAAACCGGCTTCAGGTAGATCAGTGTAAACAATTCAATACTTAATAATATTGATGATCAAAAACTTTTAGGCATAACTTAGTATTGTCAAACAATAATTTCTGTAAAAAGTAGAGGAAATAGTGAAGATTATGTGATGCGGGAAACAGATTTTCTTACTTTCACTTAGTCATCTTTATTCTCTCATTCATACCTTTCTGACACCAGGATATGAATCCGTAATCTTACATTGGAAATTGAATAGCTGTAACTTCGTTAACAGTTGTCCAAAATAAACGATTTTTATATGGCTTTGTAGGGAATTTCATTACCTTTCAAAAGTTATATTATATATTTCACCGTATAATAAATACTTAAGGAGTTAGGCCCCCTTACCTTTTTCTTTTCTTAATAACTTTTTTTCCTGAATTTTTTTCGGGAATTTAGTCTATATTCGAAAATTGATAGAACATTATAGAAAAATTTCATCAAAATCGTTAGAGCCCTTTTTGCGCTACAATCTATAGAAAAACATATTTTTCATTTATTGCGCACGGGGCACCGAATTTCTGTCATAGGCATCAGTAGTCAAAATCCTGCAAAATAAAAAAAGAAGCAACAAAATCGGTTCAGTAATTCCCGAGAAAATCTTGGCACCAACAGACAGACAGACAGAAAGACCAAAGGCTAAAAATGTGTTTTTAGGACAATTATATACAATTATAAATTATAAAAAAAATTATATACAATTAGTAAATGTTAAATATATAAAGGATATATCAAAGCATGACATTAATCTGTGAACAACCCACCAATTGGTAGCCTTTCAAAAACTATTCTAGTCTGAAAGGGTTATAGGGACAGGGAATAGATTGGGCTGAAAGGTTACGAGCTAGTGGGTTTGCGTGGGCAAGGAGTTTTTGATTGAAGAAGGTTTATCAATTTCTAGCTGAACCTGCAACAAGTTATATATTTTAGAACAAGGGATAATTTTAATATTTGCTCAATAAGGAGGAAGAACAATTAATGACTAGTTGGCCCTTGCGAAACATTCGCAGAAAATTTTGTCTACTGAAGAAATAGCAAAACAATATGGAAATAAGTAGTTCCTATGTAAGGAAGGAATTAATATTTTTTCTTTGGTCGATTACAATATTCCATTAAACATAATAGAAAAAAATATTTGTACAGATTGCTTTGCTAGGATCTATTTTTAAACGCTGACTGCAAAGATAATAAAAGTAATATAGAAAAAAGTAGTGCCACGATCATGGGATATTCTAAATTATTAGAAAAAATAAAATGTAAGTACAACCAAATATCCTTAAGAAATAATAAAGTTAATATATCAGCCAGGGAAAAAATGTAGTAGACTATTCTATTTATAAATGCAATATCATTAAATCGGAAGATATTATTAAGTATACTAATATTAATGGACGGTATCTTTGTTAATAATTCTCCGGTTATTACGATTTTTTTTTTTTATTTTATAGATAATTCCAAATAAAATCAAAGGCTCCCCCATTAGGTCAAATAAGTAGGAAAAAAATTAATTTTTCGATATCAATGAAAATTCGTATTCGAGGGTCATCCAAGCTGCGAAATACAAATCTCAACTTTTTTCCTCCTTAACAAAATATATCAACACACTTTACTCCTTCCGTAAATACAAATTGTTTAAATTTTAAATATTTCTAATCGATTTTTACATGCTTTTTTTTTTGTTTTGTAAGTAATTCAGTAATCTTTCAAATTATCATGGGTACAATTCAGAAAAAAAATGCATACTTTTTGAGGTATTCGCAAATAAAGTTTCTTTTCCTTCATATTTTTTTTCCAGAAATATTTTCGGGGGGAATAGAACTATTTTTCGCAGTTATGGCGTACCGACAAAAAAACACCTTTCAGAAATAATATATAGGATAGAAGAGCTGTTCTGAGATAGTCGTCATGGCAACGACTTACTCACTTTTCATATGATGTTTTTGCCTGCCGTTAACTAAAACATTCATGATTCCTCAGGATTTTATCCTAATTCAATGTTTCGACAACCATTGTAAAGCTGAAGTATCGCTCTTCTAGACCGTATAAATGACTTTTTGATTTAACACGTTTATAGAGATTAAATAAATAAAGATTCGTAAACTCCTAACAGGTTTTTATTTTATAACTTGAGTTCTAAATAACTTAGGATGGCGCAGTTTGTCATATCTTGTAGTTTATAAAATCCTATATCTCTTCAAATTTTCGTGGGAATATTTGGAAGAATATTGAAGTTATAAAACCTTTTGTGATTTTAGAAATAAAATTAAATGCTATATAATTATAGAAATAATATATAGAATTCTTTGAAGGATATTGGATGGAAAAGATTATATATGGAACGAATTAGATGGTTTTGTGGAGAATCGAAGCATTATTTCGTAAATAAAAATTGGCGTGAACTGTAGTATAAAGAAAATTTATAGGGTTCGTGAATTAAATGTCCCAGTAATTTTATTTATTTTTTTTTTATTGAATATTAATACATTCTGCCACATTGAAGGGTATTAATATTAAGGCTACATGAATCATTCACACAATATGTACATGCAAATCCCAGTAATAGGAATCTATAAACAGTTTCTTGTTGTTTCGTTCTTGTATTCCAAGCAAGTTATTGTCAGAATGAAGGCAGATCTGCGGGGAAGGCTTTGGGGCTGAAGCCCCCCCTCCTCCCCAAAAAGGTAAAATATAACCATATTTTATGGAAAAAAAAATTAAAAATGATCTCTTAAAGTATTATTGTTCGTGTAATTATATTTAAAAGTACTTTAGGAATCACTTAAACACCATTTCATATAGGTAGTTATTTTCTTTCTTTTTTTCTAAAGTAATTATCGTTATTATTATGAAAAAAAAGCTTTCAGGCTGAAGTTAAGACCCAAAATTAAATTCTGGATCCGCTAGTGGTTAATCATGCATAAGTGGAACATTATC